GTGTGTGTGTGTGTGTGTGTGTGTACACGTGCGTGTTTGAGGTGTATGTACACAAGCGTAGGTGTCTCGATCAGAAGACAGCTTCGCAGGAGTCCGTTCTCGCCTGAGTTGCTTTGCTGGCTCAGCTTTTTTTCTTCTTCTTCAGAAAATAAACCTAAAGTAGCACTATGGATGGAGTGACTCATAGTGGCGTGCACTGTTTGCCTTGCATGTTTGAGAACTCCGTTCATGTTTGAGCCCTCTGTTCCATCCCCAAGAGAGAAAGAAGAAAGGAGGAGGCAGTTGGGCTTAATCTTTAGGACTGGAAATCTCCCTTCCTCAGTGCCTTGGGCTCTTTGGGGCCGGAGAAGCAGAGGAGGTTAAGGAACTATTGGAGTTGAGCACAACTTTTTAAATTACATTTTATTCAGTGTGTGTGTCTGTGGCGGGGAGCGAGTCAGACGCCCCTGCACACACCAGAGGACAACTTGAAACACTCAGCTCTCTCCTACCACGTGGGTCCCAGGCATTGAACTCTGGGTGTCAGGACTTGGGGCCAGCAAGTGCCTCCACCGTGTCACAGGCTGAGAACAAACAGGTCCTGGTCCGCTGGGCAGGTGCGGGAGGGCTTCTCTACCCTCAGTCTTTCTTTGGGTTCCTAGATGGAGGCACACAAAGCCCTTTCTGTGGAAATGGAAGGTTCCAGAAACTTTCAGCTGACTCTTCCCCTTAGTCCTCCAGGTGACGGGGAAGGCAAAGGGCAAGGTGGCTGTGGCTTGGGATCCGTGACTAGGAGGAGCACAGTGGTGAACTGGTTGTGCGGACAGATAAACCGAAGGGGGCTGTGGTTTCTGTGGCGATTTTACTCTAGAACCCTCCCCAGACTCAAGTGAGACACCTGCTACAAAGGGACAGGGACGCATCGTAATTCTCCCTCTTCTCTCATCTCACTCAGGAAAGCGGGTGTGCATGGGAGAGCAGCTGGCCAAGATGGAATTGTTCCTGATGTTTGTGAGCCTGATGCAGACGTTCACCTTTGCCTTACCCGAGGGTTCGGAGAAGCCCATCATGACTGGGAGATTTGGTCTAACCTTAGCCCCACATCCGTTTAACGTCACCGTCTCAAAGAGATGAGGATGTCCCCGAGAGGAGAGGAGGGGCAGCAGGCGAGCATGTGTCCCAGACACGCTCCGTGTTGTCTAGCATGGGTCCAGCAAGTCAGGGCAGCCAAGAGAGGCTCCAGACGAGAGACTGGAGGGAAGGATCCCACTCCACGCACGCCTCCTGCCCACCGGGAAGCATGGATGCGGGACTGAGTTGTGTGGATTCCACCAGGAGCAGACCGCATCTCTCAGCCTCCATCGTCCCATGCTAAAATGAGGGTAGTGAAATTTCTCATGGCCTCTCTGCTCTTAGCGAATGTTGGGCAATCCAGTAGTAGCTATCTGCCTTCAGACCTTTCGGGGCCCCTGAGAACATGGGAGTGCGTTCAGCAAAGACCCTTGGTCGGAAAGGGATGCAGGTCCAGGTTATATTAAGGAAGAAATTTTTTTCTCATTAATTTTTTTTTTTTTTTAGCATAGGTTCTATATCAGTTTCTTTGGGCTTGTCTTATGAGTATCTTTGGTGTTTAGGACTGGGTTCTCTGCTTTCTATAAAGCTAGGGTGAAATTTCCCCTCGCCCCGGACACTGGGGAAAAAGAAAAGCATTCTCTTGAGGTCATTGTCTACCTGTGTGGGTGCTGTCTGTAACCACGGGAGCAGTGAGCCCAGTGCCCAGCCCAGGTCCGTCCGCTCTGCCTTGACTTGGGCCCCCCATGCTGGGCCCAAGCATATGGATAATAATGGAATTGGTCAATCATTCAAATGATTCTGAACTTCCTCTCCTGTGTGTCACCAGCCATAGTGTGACTGACTTGAATCGTCTCCAAAACAAGGAGCCATTTCTTGATAAGTGGGCCTCGAGTGGCCTTTCCAGGGGCCACAAATGTGGGAAAGGATTTATCATAGTGGTGGGTTTCTGCGGGCCTCTTCTGCGGCTGGGATCCTTGACGGTCAACAGTGTCGGCTCAGAGAGCCCAAGTCTGGCCCTTCCCTTGGGTCTCCAAGGTACTGTGGAAGGAACCGTGGTTATACCGAGCCTTTCTTTGGAGGCACTGTACGGATGTTTTATTGTGTGTGTATGTAGCCCTCACACTGAGGAAGCTTTGCAGTGCTGAGGCCCGTAATTCAAAGATGCCATCTCTGGGTCCCTAAGACACTTGGCCTTGTGACTGGAAAGCGCTCTCTGAGCCTCTTCTCAGTGTTGGCCCCACACGGTCCTGAAGCTGTGTCCTCCGTTACCTGTGTCCCTCCCTATCCCAGTGGACTCCTTGGGGCCTGGCTCCATACTGCTGCCTCCTCCTCACTGTGCCTTATTCTTGGTAGGTGCCCAGGCAACTTGGGAGTGAGTTAGGGAGGTGCCTAAGGGGAAAGCCCATCCATGTGCTTATTGCTGTCACTTTAGGATAATTTTAAAACACAATATAATTTGCCCTACCTGTTTAAGCCAGTGTTTAAAAACACACTAAACTAAACTCTTTTATCATTTAAAGTAACCATTTTAGGCAAATTTAGAATGCTACCTTAGCTGCTAAAACATAATACAGAGTGAAAGCTTCCAGCATCTTCCCATAGACTTTTTGTCCAGGTACCCAGGCCGACTTCCAAATGTTTACTAAGGGGGAAATAATAGATGCTGAATAGAAATCTAATATGACTAAAAAGGAAAATGTGGAATAGTTTATAACCAAGTGTTGATTAAGTTTTGATTCTACGACCTTTATATTACCCACCATAATGTTTTCATAAGTTACAAGCACTTTCAAAATAGATGCACGAAATACAGGCTCATCTTTAGGTACCCTGAAGATTTAGACCAGCACACTGAATGTAGAGGGACTGAGTGAGGCTGTACACATTGTGGATAAGATGACGCATGGATGGACATGCTGCTCTTTGAGCAGGATAGTCTGTCCTGATCTGGAATCCGTGTGATTTTAAACCTCAGCATTTGCAAGCTCCTTCCTTCCTCCTTGACTCACACATGGATTTCTGGACCTCCTAACCAAAGACTTCACACCATACTTGAAAAGGACTTCTGCCTTCTAGGAGATGACATCAGAGTCCCAAGTTTATCCAGCAGTTTAATACCGTGCCTCAAGTTGTAGCACTTTGAAAATCCCTTTACGCGCTTTGCCATAGAGGGACTGTGCTTTTCCCAAATACTCTGATATTTTACACATCCTGCTACATCTGAAATGTGAAAATGAGAGTCTAACCAGGTCTGGACCTCATCTTTAGTGGCGCTCTTATTAAACCTTTAATTCCAATGGAGACGGGGTTATGTCTGTTGGCTTTTAGTTGCTTAGCAATTTTTGTTGTTTTTACAAAATTCAGTCAAAAAGTAAGAGGAAGCAGACCTCCAGAGAGAGGGGTTCACACTGTAGTGCAGGTCTAGAGAGGGTTCACACTGTAGTGCAGGTGTAGAGAGGGGTTCACACTGTAGTGCAGGTGTAGAGAGGGGTTCACATTGTAGGGCAGGTGTAGAGAGAGGTTCACACTGTAGTGCAGGTGTAGAGAGAGGTTCACACTGTAGGGCAGGTGTAGAGAGGGGTTCACACTGTAGTGCAGGTAGAGAGGGGTTCACACTGTAGTGCAGGTGTCGAGAGAGGGGTTCACACTGTAGTGCAGGTGTAGAGAAGGGTTCACACTGTAGTGCAGGTGTAGAGGGGTTCACACTATAGTGCAGGTATAGAGAGGGGTTCACACTGTAGTGCAGGTGTAGAGGGGTTCACACCGTAGTACAGGTGTAGAGAGGGGTTCACACTGTAGTGCAGGT